TGCGCACGCATGCGCATGTTTTTCTTTCTCCTCCACAACAACTTTCCCCATGCACATGTGATAATTGTCACGCAATACTTGCTCTCCCTTTTCAATACATTACGCGAATGTTGAAAATAATCGAGTATTCTTTTTCAATAATCGTGTCAATAAATTTGAAAATAAAGTGTCATTTCAAACAAGTGCGAAGCAGACAAATGTTGGACATTATGGTAAGAACAAGATCAATGTCAAAAGAAGTGGATTCATTTTCACTAACCAGTACCTGCTCGTCAAACTCATCGCGAGAAAGGCCGAGTCCTAGCAATTGTTTCAAGAGAATTTTCCAACGCTCGAAAAAACAACCATTGACATTATCGATCGGACCAACTGAAATCAACGAAATTCAACAAATTCCACCTGTGGAAGACCAACCAACACCATCACAAATGGAAGTCCTACTACCGCCATCATCACAAAGGGAACTACAACCACCCAGAACCGGAATTACTAGCAGAGTCTTTGGATTAATCAGTTTCATCTGTGGGAAAATTCCAATCATACTTGGATTGTTTGGTAAGTCGCTGAAATGCAAATTTCAATTTTTTCTTTCATTTTCAAATTTCAATTTTTTCTTTCTTTCAACCTAGTCTTTAGATTAATCAGATTTATCTATGGAAAAATTCCAATCACACTTGGAATGTTTGGTAAGTTGCTGAAAGGCAAATTTCCTTTTTTTCCATCATTTTTCAAATTTCAATTTTTTCTTTCATTTTCAGGTGGCTGTTACGCACTGTATCAGCTCTACGAAACGATGGGAGAAAACGAAAACCAAATGGAGAAATTGGAGGTCGTCGTTCTACGTCGCTCAAAATATGAGCACTAAAGTGGTAAAAAAAATTTATTCAAATATGCATATTTAATTTTTTTTCAATGAGATTTTAATCATTTTTTTTTCTTCCATTTCAGATTGCTGCTACGAGTCGAGAAAACATAAGTCACAATAATACAAACAATAAAATGTTTAATTAAATTGTTAGACCAATGAAAATAAAAAAAATAAAACAGTGCAGTGAAAACAAGGAAAAAAAACTCTGTGTATTTAACTCACTCGCTATTTGACTGATTACATTAAATGTTATTCTCTCTCTCGCTCTATATCTGCCAATGCAAATTGTTTGTATATGTTTTTCGTATTTGCCACCAACTTTTCTACACAGTGTGAGCATTTCAACTGGTGCACAGAACCGAGTGAATTCGCTCACATTTTTTTGTTTCGTTTTCAATGCGCTATTGCTCAGCTCTCTATCTGCCAATGCAAATTGTTTTGCAATGATAAAAAAACAAACAATGTACATTAATTTTTTTTTTTATTCAATCTTTGAACCAGACAATCATATTAATTAAATCAAGGCATAGGGTTCCATATATCGCTGGTGGTGGATGTTGTTGCCGGTGTTTCTCGTTTCACTGTCGTGGTCGATGTTTCCGTTTTCACTATCGTTGTTGTCGATGATTCTGGTTTTACCATCGATGTAGATGTCTCAAGTTTTGTTGTCGATGGCACCACTGTTGTTTTCGATTCTGAATTCAAGGGCATAGGATTCCATATATCGCTGGTGGTGGATGTTGTTGCTGGTGTTTCTGGTTTCACTGTCGTGGTCGATGTTTCCGTTTTCACTGTCGTTGTTGTCGATGATTCTGGTTTTACCGTCGATGTAGATGTTTCTGGTTTTGTTGTTGATGGCACCACCGCTGTTTTCGCTTCTATATTCGCAAAATAAAAACCAACAAAGATACCGAATATCACCAAAAAAATGATTAACACAAAATATCCAATCAATTTTAAAACTCGGAGGAATGAAAAAACATCTCTTCCTCGATCATCGTGATTTATTTGTATTCTCACGTTGTTAAGATTGGGAATGTTCAAATTTATTTTCGTCATTTTCTGTTTAAATGCCAAGAACGAATGAAAAAATATTTTTATCGCTAACGAAAGAAAAAACGTTTGCTTTTCCTTTGCAAAGAAACGCTTGCTTTTCTTTTCAATGCTTACCAAATTTTTATGCTTTTCATGCATCTATTGTTTTCCAGTCCGATTTCCACTCCTGGAATGCCCAATAGACGCATTTGGAAATTTCTTTAGCATCATCCACACTATTGATTGTATTGAATTTACAATCATCGATGCTATTTATAATCACCAATATTTCACCGAAATTCAAATATGTTTTTCGCACCTCATTGAATTTAGCAAACATAGTTTTTACGAATTCACTTCTTGAATCTGCTTCGCGAATTGGAAAACTACTTTCCAATGCTTCCATGAAATCATCCACTCTAATAAAATGATTGTCAACTTTGTGTGAAGGATCTTCATAATAACCTTCCATTTCTGCGAAAATCCCAAGATAAAAAAACTCTCTAAAAAATTTCATTATAACTTGCTCTTGCTCTGGTCAAAGTCATATGAAAACTGAATTGCATTTCTCATGCTCATTGCTAGCCAATCTGGTCAATCTAAGGTTCGAAAAATCCCACATTGGAAATTAATTTAAATATACACAGAACCATTCATATCAAATATAATAAAACACACCACATGTGGTTATCAATAAGAATAGGCAGGTCAATAATCTTTTTTATTGCATGTATATTTAAATTACAAAAAATCATGTCATGCAATTTACAGACCAGACCAGACCAGACCAGGTAATTGATAGACAGCTGTAACCGAAAAGAAAAGCTGTTGTTGTTGTTCAACAGGAACAGGAGTTAAATAAGATGTGATAAGGTTTGCACCCACTAGAGCCATCATGACACCTATTAATTGAATACTCGCATTAATTCCATTTTTCACAAGTCTCACTATCATATTCTTATTCCGTGGAACGTGTGTTGGCATTAGATCGTTAATATTCATTATATCTTGAAAAAAATCGTTTACGCGATGTAGATCTTCCGGGTCGATATTGATAGATATAAATGCTTCATTTTGAAATATTTGAAGCGCAAATATAACCGCGAATAAACAGAATATTATCATTGACACTTTCATTTTAATTTCTATATTGTCTGAATTTACAAAAAAGAGACGTTTGATTCAACTCAACTCTAAACTTGAATTAAAAATAATGCAGAATTCTCAACAAATCAGATGCAATTTTGTTATTTAAAAAAAATTAAACTCGAACACATCTGTTGTGATATTGCTTCTGTTCTGTTTTCAGAGTCTTGATATTTATCGCTCTTCGGTAATCTTTAGAGCAACGATCTTGCTCTCTACAATTCTCGATAGAAATTTATTTTTTCCAATTCATTTTATCATCGCGCTTCTCTCACCTCTCTCTCTCTCTCGCTTTGTTTCATTATCGATTTTCAGCATTCAGATCAGAATGCTTTACTTCGAATAAGACCGAATTGAGCAAAGAAATGATTGTTTTGTGAGCTCTGTGCAACTGTGCATCGACAATTGTCTAGTCCATGGACCGTAGCCTATATAATACACATTTGGACGTAGCGTTCGCAACAATCAAATCACATTTGAAGCGTCAATTTTCTTTGCTTTACACACATGGGCAACTTATGGTACTTCTTTCATGTTTCATGCAAATTGCAGATTTAGAGTCTAGCAAACTTGCCAGGTAATGACAAACACGAAGGCGGTTATCAAACCAAACTTCCGAAACTTCTGAGGGCAGCATTTTTATTCTGGGGCGGCAAAATTGCAATGGATTTCATATTTTTCTCTTCAAAAATTTTTTTTTCGGGCGGCATTTTGACAATTTACCTCGTATAGCACAAAACCTTTGCATGCCACCGGTTTTATTTCCAAAGAATCAAATATATTGATGTTCACTTGACATGAACTATGAAAATTGGACTATTCAGAAATGTTCGAGTTAATGTACTCATTTCACATGATATGTGAAAATATTCCCACGCATTCATTTTTTAATATCCTCACGCAATTTCAACGAATCTATCGCGAGTTTTGGCTTTACTTGGAAAAGTTAAAACTGATTCTTTCATTGTCTTGTTCTCAGCAGTTTCATTGACAGCAAAGTGAAAGTGAAAGTGAACTTAATACAAAAATGAGTGAAATAATTAAAAAAATTGAATTTTTCCATAGTTTAGAATTGAATCCTGTTTCAGAAATAGAGTATCAAAGATGGAAAATAGAAAAAATAGAAAAGCAGCAACCATGTCGGCGTGTATTAAGACCTCGTAAAAAGAAAAAACAATGCTGCCAAATGTGTGATTTTTAAATTAATTTTTTGATTTGCAAGTTCATAGAGTTCATAGAGTTCATAGTTTGATTTTTTCTTGGAATTATGTTCGGTTATCATACATGAATTGTGATTATTTTTATTTCTCAGTCCCTCGGTAACATATATATAAAGCGGTTAAACAAATCAAAAACACTTTGATTCAATGTGCAGTTAGTTTCAATTTGTTGTCGCTCTTGATCATTCGTGTTCGTGTTTTTAAGACTCATTTCAAAATTGTGCTTGTGCTTCTAAAAATGTATAAATCGTTTGTGTCGATTTTAAATTTGGTTAAAGTTGAAAGCTTAACCACATCAGATTTTTTTTTTATTATAAACACAAAATTCACACCTATTCTGTTATTGTTTTTCGCAACATTGTTGACAACAATGGACATACTACGAACATCGATTGATTGTTATCCTGATTCGAGCGGAAATGGACGGAAGGCGATTATGGATAATTTTTGCTGGTCCTTCGGAACATACACATGCAAAAACCAAACAAACAACTGCTTCAACCCATCGGAAGAGAATAAAGTGTATCAACGATACTACCAATGGATTTCTCTGTTGTTTGTTCTGGGAGCATGTGTGTTGCATACACCAGCCTATCTGTGGACACAACTTGAAGGAGGATTAATGCATAAGATATGCACTGAAATTGGTACGATCAAATTTTCAATATAATTGAACAATATTAAAAAAAAATAAAATTTTTCCATGAAATAGATGAAATAGATTCAACCTTTAAAGAGGAAACATGGAATCGCAAGAAGAAACAGATCATGGCATATTTTCGCAGCAAATATGTAGATCGTTTACACATGAAGTATGTGCAATATTTCATTGCACTCAACATACTTTGCAGTGTTTTAATCGTGAGTATTCTTCAGAAAATTAAAATATTTACAAAAATTTTATTTTTTTTTATATCTAACAAATGTTTTCTTTATTTTCAGCTCCTCAATATTATGACATTGAACATCATCATACCAGGATTTTGGAATCACTACCATCAGGCGATTTTGGCTCTGGTGACAGGGGACTCAAAAATGTGGATGTTCCACAGTGAACTTATATTTCCGAGATTAGCAAAATGTTCTTTCGAACCTTATGGTCCATCCGGTTCGAATCAACAATTAGATGCACTTTGTTTACTATCATTAAATGTAGTAAACCAAAAAATATTTATTATTGTATGGATATGGTACATTCTTCAAATGACCATATCCATTTTGAATTTACTTCATTGGATTTTAATAACAACTAGTAAAAAAGCACGTATTTATATTTTATGTGAAAAAACTATGAAAAGTATTTCACATAAAGTAATATTAGATGCTTCATGCGAAGCACATTTAGGACATTTCTTTGTGCTAAATCAAATTGCTAGGAATACTAGCCCAGACACATTTGTTGAATTGATGTCTGAATTAGCAAATCAAAATGTCAATATGGATGATTTGGATGAAACGACTTAAACAACAACAACAAAAATAACAGGCACGCTACTGAACTAAAAGGTCTATCTCCGTATCAACCAAAAAAATGTAATTGTCATTGTCACTCACCCTCACCCTCACACTTGCAAATGCAATTTAAAATAAAAAACTAGACAATTCAATTTATTCTTGTTTCACAAATTTTATTTAAGAATTTCTATTTCAAATATACATGTTTCAAAACAAAACCAGAATTGTTTTTTTTTATTTGGTAGTTCCAAAGGGATTTCTTATATCATCAGATTCTGTTTGAGTTGGATGGGTTGTAGTTGTAGTTGTATCTATTTGATTCATAGGAAATGAAACATGTCGAGCTCCTAATCCACCAACAGCAGCACCGATAGCAGATCCAACAAATGCAGCCGATCCATATTGAAGCGCTATGTTTCTCATTCGGGCAAATACTCCATGTCTTCTTGGATCCAACCGCTCACCATGTGTCTCAGCGATCGGATCAATCAAAGCTGCAGAACCACCAAAACGAACGTTCTTTGTCGATTCTCTTTCCATGAAAGGTTTCTCTTGACGATGATGATGAAAATCCGTCTCTGGTTGAATCGCTGATGATGTACTTGCTATTGGTTCCAATGATTCAAGTTCAATGTTGCGCAATCCTCCCATAGATTGTGTTCTTCTAACTTTAACAACAGTCGATGATGATAATGTTGATTCGACTTCAATGATTTGCAGAATTACGATGGTAATAAGCACAAGTGTAAATATACACTTTAGTACCATATTTATAACACAAAAATAAATTTCACAATGTTACACTTTTTAACAAACCGAAAATGCGATGATGTGCTGATCAAAATGCAACTGATTGTTGAAATTCAAATTGAACCGATTTCCATTTATATTATTATTTCTAGGTCACGCAACTCATTTAGAATTGTTTTTATCTGCTGCATGCGTGCCTTATCATCAAACTTGTGTGATGATGCTAATACTAGTATTCTTAAAATAGCACAAAGCGTATTCGGGTCATGTTTTTGATGCTGCTGTTGTTGTTGTTGTTGTTCAATTGATGTAGAATGAGTTTTATATTCATTCCCGGTTGTTATCATGAGAGGTTTCATTGCATGATTCAAATCATCTTCATTTTCAAGACGATTCGTATATGCTTTTTTAAATTTATTTCTGATAACATTTCGCGTCACAGTTAATTTTGACTTACTATCCTGATTCATTATTCTCGATTGATTTTATCAATATTCTCTTATTCAATTTATTTAAAAATAAATTCGCGTATCCGTATCCACAACTCTTTATATATGAATTTGCAGATATTCATTGAAATTTTTTCGATAGCGACCAGAGTTATTTTCATTTTCGGGAGAAATACAAACGAAACCAAAAGGTGCGCGCCAGCATTCCAAACAAAGCTCTCGAAATTGCTCAAACTTCATATCAGCATTTACACCGAAATCATTGTAAACATGCTTTAAATTAAGGTCATCTTGTCTGAATAGAATGACGAAATTGCAATTATCTCGAATAAGATGCTTGTTAAGTTTAGTGTAACTCTGAACGATGTAAATCACATCGAGGTCACGATGTCGTCCGAGTGTGAAAATATCACGCACCGTTGTTTTATTTATGTCATGATCATTAATCACATCATCAAATACAATGAGAGAATTTTTTTTCATCTGATTAGTTTCGATGACATTTTCAGATGCGGTGAAAGTATAGCAACCAATCTCTTTAATCGATCGCAACATTTCACACAAGTATTTGTATTTACTTTGATCTAATGTTTTACTATACAAGTATAAATTCTCAAATTTCAATCCATGTTCGCTCTCAATCAAACTGATGAGAACATTCGTTTTACCTCCGCCAGAGGGTCCTAAGGAATAGTAATACATCAAATAAATATGTGTGGTATTTTGTTTACTATACTACCTACTACTACAACTAACCTGCTATGATGCAACGTAAATTGTTCGGGAAAAGTTCACTATGACGCTTCGTTTTAGATGATTTTAGAGATGTGCGTTCATCCATATTCACAATGGGAATATCGATTGGTTGTTTAGTGAAACGCATCTTGATGATGAATGAACGCTTTTTATATAAAAGACGACAATTTATTTTAAACTTTAACACTCTTATCGAAAGAACTCTGAAAAAATGTCGTCTAACAACAAATTAGGTTTCATCGATCGTATGCTAGAAAAGCTTCCTGAAATACACATTAGAGGTTACAATTACTGCGGACCGAATACCAATTTGACTGCTCATTTCACGCACAATGACGTTGGTATAAACAAATTAGATTGTGCATGCATGGAGCATGACATAGCTTATGCAGAGAGCAAAGATCTAAATTCCCGATGTATAGCAGATAAAGTACTAATATTGAGCGCAATTAGACGTATATATGCGAAAGATTCGCAAATCGGTGAACGCTTCGTTGCTTTACTTATATCATGGTTAATTAGTGTTAAATTATTTCTTTGCAAAATAGAATTGGGTATCGATTGTGTTCGATTGTATTTTGGGAAGAAATTCCCGAACAAAAAACAAGGCGAAAACATATAAAGATAAATGTCTCATGTTAATAACAGTTCAGTTGTTGCTATGACATCGTTGCATACAATTACTTTTTCCAATACCTCATCTGTGCTTCAATGTTATTTTTTACCTGAAATCATACTCGATGAGGGTTATGATTATAGCTGCGCGTTTCTCGATTTAATTATCAAAACCAAAGACAATGCGGGTTTGACAAAAATTGCTGAATCAGATGTTGTACGCATTAATTGTGATATAATTTCTGGTTCGTATATAAATGGGGAGCGACGACATACAATTCATCAGTTTGCTACTAGTACATCGTATATGAAAGGTCAAATACTGGTGGATAGTCCGAAAAATCTCAACTATTTTCCGATTAAATCCAAAAATTTGCACTCCATTCAGATTTCCATTGTTGATATCAACAATAAATTGTTAGATGTTCACAATGCTGATGTCATCTGTCGAATAAATATCCAGAGAGAACCAACATCATCTAAAAAAAGTACTTTAACATGTTAATCTACCATCACCGCCATAGCACTGACACTAATCCGAATATGAACTCGAAAGGTTTAACAAGTGAAAAAAAAAGTAGGAAAAAAGCTCATAAAAGTGGAAGAAAAAGCATGAAAAAAACCTATAAAAATGCACGTAAAGGAAAAAAGTCTCCTTATTCGAAGGGAAGCATTGTGGGAGAAGGATCAAAAAAATCAAAAGTACCAAGAAAAAAGAAACAAATTTCAAAGAAAAACGTGAAATTTTTGGAAGGACTTGGACTTAAATTGAAACAAAAACGTTGAATATAAACATAGATTTCAACAATGTTGAATATCACAGCAAATGCTGCTCAAGATGTTTCAATTATAAAAAAGGAATTTCACACATACACACCGTATACTAATTCTCTTGGTGAATCTGAAGAGATTCGTATCACCATCCAAAATCATGACTTATGTTTACTACCATGTGTTTACTACCTTTGTTCTTGCTAGATATTTATTAAGAAATATCTTCATAGTGATTCTTCTTGATTCACCAATATCTTGCAATAAGCGATAAATAGGGAGCACCTTTTCATATACCCTTTCAAAATCTGACCAAATATTATATTCATTGTCGTAGATATATTTCAACTGAAACATCCAGTCACTAACTGTGATTCTTTCACCATCGAAAAGGTTTCTTTTATCAGCCTCTTCTTTGAGTTTTTTATTAAAATTTTCAAAATTGTTCATGATTTAGTTTCACACTTCACTTATTTCAAACAAAAGCACTTGTAACAAAAATTTGAATGTTTAAATTTACATTTTTTTACTTGCACGCAACAGGATGAAATGTACATATTCAACCATAGGTAGTTCATTTTCCATGTGCGGAAAGTTGTTGTGGAGGAGAAAGAAAAACATGCGCATGCGTGCGCACTCGATGCAATGATGGGGAAATATCTTTTTCCCTCACGCATGTGAATATTTTTTGATTCTTACTTCTCTCTTCTCCCCTCGATGCATTTTGTACTGAATGGAACCCCCCTTTGATACCTATGTGTGGACGAAATGTACATATTAACGCTACTTGCATTTCCAAGATATGATCCACGGAAAATAGAATTTTATTTCAACGAAACGGATTCAGTGTGGGTCGACTCATTGCATATGGAAAAAATGGATTTTAATTTTGGATATTTGAATGAACTGGACGCTAAAGCACTTGAAATCACTTACGGCAATTCAAATTTTACATTTTTGATCATTTTACCGAACAACCGAACAGGATTAACTGAATTAGAGTCCCGATTGAAGAACTATGATATTGCAACAGTTTTTGATCAAATGCAAATTACGAAAATCAATGTTAAAATTCCGAAATTCAAAGCAGAAACTGAAATTCGTATGAATGACATACTGATAAATGTACGTATTGAAATGCCTTCATATTTTTACCGATATTTGGAATCAAACCGATATTAGTTAGCTTTTTCATTTAGTTGGGAATAGGTGATATGTTTAAAAAAACGGCTGATTTAAGTGGTCTACTTGATGCAACGGAACCACTTTATATCAGTGATGTAATCCATAAGGCGTTCATTGAGATAAATGAAGAATGCACCGAAGGTGCTGCAGCTGGAGGTAATTTTTATTCACATTTTGCCCGTACTGCAAAAAGAGAGAGAAATCATCTTGCTTCAGCAAAAATATGGAACATGTCAAGCATTACAATATAATATTCCTGAGACACCGAAAATATATGTATATAAATTTTTTTAATTTAAAGGGGGTGTTGCGCGGTCTAAAAGTGGAGTACAAGCAACGTTTTATGCTGATCATCCGTTTGTCTATTACGTTTGGGATTAAGAGAACAAAATTCCAATCCTGAGTGGTCACATCAAAAAGTTCCAATAAACATGTAAAATCATATCATTTGTCTGTAGTTGTAAAGGCAGAACTAAATGCGCATAAGTAAATCAAAATACTTGTGTGCTAAATGCAAGTATAAAACAGATTATTTTATAAAGTGCTTGGTTATTGTGCATGTGAGCTATGCAATGAAATTGTGTTTCAGTTTCAACACGCTCTCCTCACAATTTCACAATTATGAAATACAAACAATAAAATTCGATTTATTTACGTTGAGATACGAATATTCTTTTTTTGGATTATTACTGGACAATGCATGATTTTCGTTAGAATTAGGAAACTCCACAAACAATCATTTTCAATGCCAAACAAAAAAAATTAAAAACCTCGAATTTCGTTGATAGTAGCTGTTCCATTTTTCTTTTGTACTTGTCACGGAAACACTACCGATCCTCATTGCGATTTGCGTTTCGGCTTTCGTATTCACGTCTGATCGTCCTCTTCAATGCTTGAAAGGTGTAGAATTTGACAAAAATTGAAATAAATTTGACGAACTGGGAGATAAATTTGACAATTCGTAAAATAAAATCATAGAATTTTCACGGGGACGCTCCATCTTTAACTTCATCCGTTTATCGTTTTCGTTTATTCAACTTCGATTCATTATTCAACCCTTCGGTTGGTCGTTTGATTGGGCTTAGTACTACGAACAATGACAATGTGTTAAGGCTTTTTTCGGCTCAACATCAATAGCCGGAAAATTTTCACGGGGACTAAAAATGTCTCACGTCCTCATTCTAAAAATGAATTAATTTCATCAAATAGAAAAAACATTCGAAACAAATTCTATACGTGAAATAAACGAATATTCTGGTGTGGAGAAGAGACACAAAATGCAATGGTTAAAAAAAACACAATCTCACACTCAGTAATACATGTAAACAGTGTGATTGTTTTTTATACTTGCCCACGAACGGAATCGTTTTTTGAGCGCGTGAATCGAGCGAAGAAAGAGAGTGAGAGAAATTAGTCAGAACGTTTGTATGTGACACAGTTAAAATGATAGTTCATCGCTATTGAGTGCGAAAGAGGAAATAATACATAACACCGCACACACTAAAATGCCCATCTGTATTGTATTCACGATAAGAAATGCTTGTATGTGCTATAGTTGAAACGCTAGGTTGCCTCTTTTGAGTGTGGAAGAGAAAAATAGATGGCACATGAAGCAGTGAAATATCGACTAAGAAACGCTCATCTGTTTTTTGTATTCACGGAAGGAATGCGCAAAAATGAATTTTTCAAACGGTTAAAACTGAATTTAAATTGATGAAAATATTTTATAAAAATATTTGCATTTAGACTTAGAAAAATCTTTATACTTACTTTGTTGTCAAATAATGAATTGTTGTCGTACTCAACCGACTCTACAGCTTTGCTAATGACACAAACACTATTTAAAAGTGTAGAGAAATATAAAATCGACTGAACTTATTTGAAAATAGTTGACGTTTTATTTATTATCACCTTTACAAGTTGTTTCATAACAACAATTATAGATAAAAAATATGAGTTTTTGTCATTTTTTAGAAAAGGTATTATCTTTTCGTTCACAATTTTAATTGATGGCCTCCAATATTGCATGACATTTTTTAGAAATATAATGCAACTTTTGATAATGTTTATTAGGGTTTCTATTATGACGGTAGGCTTCTGATTTGAATCCTCATCCAGGCTGGAATTTGAAAACTGTAAAAAAAGACAAACAATTGAATTTAAAATTTTTGACTATTAAAATAGATTTTCGATGGAACACTTAAAAATATTTCTATTTGTCCTTACCATTTCATATTGTGCCATAATCCAATGATAGTAATTGTTTACTTTAGTATTAACTTGAGGCCATGCCTTATCTTCCGAGCCTATTCCCCACGAGATTATTCCCACACATACTACGTCTTGAACATCACTCTTGTAAAATAAACAACCTGCAATTAAAAAATATGTATATTACTTAAAAGTTCATAAATGAAAAAAATCAGATTTATTTGGAATGACTTTTACTCTATAACTGACCTCCAGAATCGCCTTGTGCTGTGTATTTTTTTAAAACATTTCCATCACATGTACTATTTTCGGTTACGTCGTCATCATCAATAGTTGCGGCGTATACGCTATGACAGTAGTTCCAATCAACAAGAGGTGTCTCAAGAGAGTGCAGGCAACACCTATATTTGTTATATTCACAGGCCCCAAAACCACTAGCATGGAAAGTTTTTCCGTATTTTGTGTAAATTAGTTCATCTGACGGGTTCGCGATGCGTATAAATCCTATTTCATCATTAAATATTAGGTGTTCTTCAAGGAATAGTACGGCTATATCGCCGTACAGTACAGTCATTCGGTTATTTTAAGTAGTATAAAAATGCCAGTTCTAAAACATAGGAAAATAACATTAGAGCCGATTCTAAAACAAAGCAATTTGCTGTTTTTAATCGGCACTAATGTTATTTCCTATGTTTTAAAATTGGCCAACGTTAAATACCAACCAGCAGCATCGTTGGTTGTCGTCGTCGTTGTCGTACGCGTGCCACATATTTCGGTGTGCGTGTGTGTAGTATTATGAACGAGGGGAGAGATATGAACGAACGAACGAGAGAAAGTGCAGTATATAAGTAGTATAAAAATGCCGGTTCTGGAACATAGGAAAAACGTGTGTGTTAGAGTGAGAGCGAAACATATGGGAAGAATATGTGTGCGAGAGCGAGAACGAAAAACAAGAGAGTGTCTCGCTGTGTGGCACGCGACCGAGTCTGAATGAGAATGAGAACGAGAAACGAAAGACGAGCAAATCTTCTCTCTCCCCTCCCTATGTTAGCTAAAAAACGATACAAAGAGGCTAAATGTCTTTCTCAATGTGTATTATGGGTTATTACAAAAGCATACTAAAACGTAACAAATTCGTACTAAATATAACCAAATTCGTACTAAATGTATACAAATTCATACCAAATATATACAAATTCATACCAAAATATTAACAATTTCTTACTAAATAATTACTAATTTCATACTAAAAAATACAAAATACATACCAAAAACCAACCAAATTCGTACTAAACCAAATGCCAAATCCTTACCAAAATATGACAATTTCAAACCAAAAATATACAAAACCTTACCAAAAAAATTAATTGAAATTGAATAAAAATTGCAATGGAATACGCATACAAATTGAATGAAACATTTTATGCGGACAAAATGTGTGTGCAACCCAATAAATTGCTGTTTATTCGCTGTATATCTATTTGTTCAGTAAATTGAAGTTATTTAATTGAATTCCTAAGAAGATCGAATTCGTTTGCGAAAGAGAATAAATAAACAAAAAGTACCATTTATAACAACGGTTATATTTAGTACGAATTTGTTACGTTTTAGTATGCTTTTGTAATAACCCGCACAGCAAAACATTTGAGTGTAAAGTATACTCTTGAGTTAGGTTAATATAGCGGTTTCAACTATTTTAGGAGAATTTACACCGAATTTTGGGTAAAATGAGTTGTTTTCTATGCGTCTGTCCGAATGGCTACTGTTCATGTACGCACTAATACATTGGCACGCACTGGTGCCGAGTCTGTGAGCTTGTATGTATTGTAAATTTTGTACTCAACGGGTTATACAATATATACAAACTCACAGACTCGGCACCAGTGCATGCCAATGTATTAGTGCATACATGAACAGTAGCCATTCGGACAGACGCATAGAAAACAACTCATTTTACCCAAAATTCGGTGTAAATTCTCCTAAAATAGTTGAAACCGCTATATTAACCTAACTCAAGGGTACACTTTACACTCAAATATTTTGCTGTGCGTGTATTATTATACTGTCAGTAGTAGGAAAATGGGGATTCGTCAGCAACTCTTGCGTCAACCGCATGGTTGACGCAAGGCTGGCGCAAGGTCCTTGCGTCATCCATACAGTAGCAGTGGAAGCGCGTGCGTCAGCGAAGCCCATACACCGTACATCATTCACTCACTCGCTCACTCACGCATTCAATCGTTTGCTCGATTGTATACTACATCTCTCTCTCTCTCCCTCTCTCTCACTCTCTCTCTCTCTCTCTCTCTCTCTCTCTCTCTCTCACACACGGAAAAGATAATACTCATTCACTTTTACATTCACACACAAAAAAAACCCCAAACATACTTTTTTTTCATACGAATCAAAACAAACGAGCTTTGAATGCATATGATTGTATGTGAAATGGCATATAAATGAATTGAACCGGTCTACCTTTATATCGGCTATAGCCGAGACGATAGAACGGCTGACTCACACACCCATGATTGAGAGTTCAAAACTCTGAATGAAAATTATTTTTTTTTCTGTCTCTCAAATGAATGGGCAAGCGGAATAATGAAACGTAATTCTGTTTTTAAATGAAGTGCCTCTGAGAAAAATTTTCAGTAAAAAAGCCCCACAAAAATATTGTCTGAATAAGATTTTCATACAAATTTTTATCAGACAATATTTTTGTGGGGCTTTTTTACTGAAAAATTTTCTCAGAGGCACTTCATTTGAAAACAGAATTACGTTTCATTATTCCGCTTGCCCATTCAAATCGAATCATGTACAATGCAAATCGAACAAAACATATATAAATTCGATTAAGTAATGATCATAGTGTGCGTGATTTTTTTCACTTCAAAGAAAAAATATACACAGCTGAAAATTTCTGAAAAACTAAAAAAAAACAAATTATGAATAAAATTTATTCAATTTTCAATGCAAAATATTTTGGATGATTCCTTCGACCAATTTTATTTTCTCCCATAAATCGTTTCAAAAGTAGAAAATTGTTTTTATAAATAC